CTAGGCTACCCGACCGCCCCTGGTAGTAAGAACAATAGTATGGTATACGATAGTAGGTCAATAGTATAGTATACGATGGTAGGTCAATAGTATAGTATACGATGGTAGGTCAATAGTATACTATACGTTGGTAGGTTAATAGTATAGTATACGTTGCCCATGTCACAACGTGATCTCCTTCACAACAGGCCAGGGGCCCACTTCTGCGCACAACACAACGCGCTCTCATCTTCGTAAGACACCATGTGCCATGGTCCATTATTGAAAACATACCTCCTATTCATATTACAATTGCGTATTTTTTAAATAAAGCGACATAAACCCTTTTCATTATCATCAGAAATCTCAGCTAAAAGTCAAATGTTCACACGTGAATATATACATGTATGGTACAAGTCAAAATAGGGAATTGCATCGGACATCTTTTTAGTAACCAATACCTCAAATTTGGAAATGCCCCATACATGTCTACCACATATAAGTGCTTTTCAAAGCTTTACCGAGGCCTTCAATGCCGTAACCCTAATCAAGCAACGTACATCTACCATAAAACACTGATATAGCATTCAGTATATAATTGATCATAACATTAATTTGAAATTGCGGTTACTTTCCTCCCCTCTTTTTTTGGATATATATTTAAGTATGAAGAGCCTTCTGTATCTAAGCATTTTGATGAGCATTTTGTTTCTAATATTCATAAGAGTTTGCTAAATTAGCCAACATAAGAGCTGAATTTAAAAGGAACTATTAATAATACTAATCACAATAATGTTTAATGCGATTGTGAATGTTTCTCTTAATAGCTTTAGGACCCAATCTCTTACATTTCATATTCAACAATACATTATGAATAATAAGTGTTAAATAAAAATTGTTATCATTTAAATACAGCGATGAGTTCATGAGGTGTTCCTGAGATAAAGGATTTGGATTTTTCTTCAACTCATAAATGTTGAAATTACTTCCTGTTAAAAGGAATGAATGAAATAAAAATATTATTTATTGAGAGAAGTTATTTTAAATGTCAATGAATTCAGTCGTAAAATTAGCATCAGCGGATTTAGGGATTTGCCTTAAATCAGTGAGGTGTGTGTTGGTTTAATTTTCTTTGGCAATTAGATATATAATGCCATGTTGCTTTCATGAGTCCAGTCAAGAACAACGCCACCCACACTATACAACTTTTGAACTTTTTATGAAGAGCAAAACATAAAGTGCCAACTCCTCAAAATTCCGTGAGATATTTTTGTGTATCAGGTCTGTGGTTTTTTTCACTCTAATGAATGCAAATGTTAGAATAATTTACATGTCTGACGTCACGGTTGCAACATTAAAAAAACTATGACGTCAAAGTGTTAACATGATGTTTCATAAACACGTGCAACTGATTTAAGGTAAACCTTAGACTGTTACAGTGTAATTTCATTGTTCATAGTAGAATGGAGGAATTTCCTGAATATGAAACGAGCTTGTCAATATGATGCGCGATGCCATCCCATATTTTCATGGATCGGGTGGTCAGGCCCACTGACGTAGTGAAAAAATTACTTCGTGTGGAGTGTTATCCGCGCAGCGTGAATCACTGTTCAAAATATTAATTGCTTGATATTGTCTGGTCCAGACTCAATTGTTTAAAGACCACCAACATGGGGCAAGGAAATTGCTGAGTGCGGCTTTCCTCAACAAACAAAACAATCAAAACTTGAATGTTTTTGCGTTTTGCGAACACCTGGTGTCATCACTGATTTGACAGTGATTCATTCATATTTTGTAACCAAATGGAATTTTTTTTCGGCTGATAATCGAGATATATTATTCTCTGGCGTGGCCGTTTTGAAATATACAGACACACTTACTTCACTTTCAATGCGTTGACTGTGCAGGTACATTGAAAGCAATCACATACAATTACGTTTGTTTTCGGCCGCTTTTGTACATAACATTATATTGTATAACGAACAATAAAGTTACAACATTATGCTTTCAACCAATGGAATTATTATCAAGATAATAATGTTCACATATGCGTGGAGGCATAAAATAAGCTCAAACCAATGAAACGGATAGGTCGTAACAATATTTTGTAAATTAATTTTTTTTGATGAGTGAGTGAGTATGGTTTTACGCCGCTTTTAGCAATATTCCAGCAATATCACGGCAGGGGACACCAGAAATGGGCTTCACACATTGTACCCATGTCGGGAATCGAACCCGGGTCTTCAGCGTGACGAGCGAACGCTTACCACTAGGCTACCCGACAGCCCTTTCTTGGATGAAAGGTATTCCAAGTTGAACAGCTACATGAACATAAAGACTACATATTCTTTTTTACTGATAAAGTGTCATAAAATGGCGTGACCCAGAATGAAAACAGCAGAACAGGATCGCCACACCCAGGTGCATTCAGCTCGAAACAGGATACTTACTTCAACGTTCACGGCAACATAAACTTCTGGTTCAGGCCCCATATCTGCGCAGACTGGCCGTAACGGTTTACGAGCTGCTGGAATCCGAGCAAGAAGGCTCTACGAACGGGCGTTGTCGTTATTCCACCGCAACGTAATAGACTTCAGCGACATCATCGTTGGCGAAGCTTTTGGTTCAGTGAAGAATTCCGATTTCCTTCTTCAAGAAGAGTTTGGCGGATCCGTGTGTATCGGCAATGGAATGAGCGTCGGAAGTGTCACGATTCTCGGAGCCCTCTCTTGTTTCCTAACCCAGGCAATGTGTACGTGTACGAGATCTTACGTGCTCACGTTGTCCCGACTCTCCCAGCACCAGAGAGAAATCTTGTCCCCACACAGCACTAATCTGTGCTGATCTTCTGAGAGCTCAGAACATAAACGTACTTCTAGGTCACCGGACTGTGCACAATTGAGCATCTGTGTGATGAGCGGCGCAGACGTTTACGTCAAGGTCAACCAGAGTCACAGAATCTGCAGCAATTACGCCAAGCTCGTCAGGACAGATAGTCAGCCATTCCATAAGGTGTCAGCCGCAGGCTTCTTTTGTCCATAGGCAGGTGTCGTGCAGACACCCAGGTCAATAATTGATACACACAGTACTACACGCAGTACTACTCACAGTACTGGGCTTTGCGCCCGCCCTGCTTCAGACGTAACCAACACATGCAAAGTCTTCACCATTAACGTTTAATGAACTATACTCTTCCAAGCACACATATTCCAAAAGTTGCCTCTAATCCTAGTAAAAGTCACCGAATTTATCTCTTAAGCGTTTACGTTTGAGGTAAGTATTTGATAGATTGAAACGCATATGTCTAGGCATCGTTTGGCATGTATTAGATAATATTTACGCCAGATAGTTTAATTTACATTATGGTGAAGTGATCAGGAGGCATATGATTAATTTCATTTTACATAGACCATGTGTAAAATGTATCATATTTACATGAGACGATTCGCGGTACCTCAACCATTGGACCACTTGCCCCAGATTTCACATGAATACCTTGCTTTGTTTTATCGTTTCATTACCCAGAGATAAACCTTTGTGACGTTAGAAATAACAAAGCGGGCGAGGATTAAGGATTATCGGGTTGGTTGACTTTTCAGAACAAACGACGTATAATGTGGTTACAAGCATTTGGGTAAATACAAATTAGAGAATAAAAAATAGACGAAATAGGCACGTATAACAATCCATAACAAATTGTATCACAGTTTGAACACATTTTGAGTACAGTCGTCACCGTTCATGACAACGTAAGCAGGGGAGAAGACAGCATCTGCATAATAGAAGACATCCATGTCAGCAGTCTGCACTCTGTGTTTAAGTAGATTAAGGCTTCTGTTAATGTCTGTTTATTTATTTCCTTTGGGGCATTTTTTGAACTCACATCACATACCTGCAGTTGAATTCATTTAAACTCACTTGAGCTTAAACTCAAATAATGTAATCTCTATTTGAATCATTTCTTTTGGAATACAGTTGCGATCTTCAACTATGCCAGTGTTTTAATCCCTTATAACAACATCGCATCGCATGCAGGCAACATCAAAGCAATTTTCACTTTGATCACAGAGGTCGATTACCCGGTAAGACACCGTCTGATCGTATCAGATGTTATTTTATGTCTACCCAAAATTCAAAAATACGTTCTGTTCAAATTGCTCTGTGCTATATACATTATTTAAATTTGACAAAGAAAGATTACATTCAGGAAAAGTAAGGAAGTCATTTATCTGATATATTCTTCGTTAATAAACAGCAAACTGTTATTTATATTTTTTATTTAAATGGTTGTAATTCCGGGATAATACGTTTTGTTAAACAAACAGTATCTGTCGAGAACATATAAAACGTCAAGTTTTGATTTCCAATCATACAGATAGACGGGAACACTGAATCTCCTTCAAATGATAGACACATTACCAGGCAGTTATAATATTATGACATCTCCCTTTCAAGTTAATAATAGTCAGTGAAATAAGTCTGGGTATCACTTTAAGACTAGACTTGCATAAATGTTAATATTGTTAACTGCCGGTACCGTCACCTGCATATATGAACCGAACAAAGACAACGAAAGTCTTCATGCACGGTGCTATATGCCTACATACATACACAGGCTATCACTTATACAGTTTTACTGAACTACAATGTCAAATGCCATCACAATGTGACAGTTGTAAGGTTCTAAAGGTATATTTTGTAGGTGAAAGATTAGATCATTTCAAGTCACATGTTGTAACAAATATAAGCAAACAAAACAGTATCAAAATAATGTTTGTTTTCACGAATACGCATCTTCCTCAAAGTACCATAGACGTTGCATTGCTAGGCCTCATCCTAATCCCGAAGAGAAGGCAATGGCTAACGACAAAGTGACTATGGCTGTGTACAATTGTGTGCATATTTCGCGCATTACTCTGTTCCTCGCAGCATCAGCCGCAATCAGCTGGCCTTCACCAGCAGCGGTTGAGCTTGGTAGGGACGGAGGACTATAAAAGCTTGGAACTGGTCTCCATCCAGATTAATTTTTCGAGCTCATTACAGAGGGAGCAAATTCTGAGGGATGCCCTTGGTTAAACATGGACTCGCCTCCAACCTAGAACGGTAGAAACGTCTATTACAGAATGGCCCGGCGGTCGATGGGTTTACTTGGCCCACAGTATTGATCTCGCCCAACACTTGTTCAGAATCAATCTCGAATTCCACTGGTATATCCGCCACCTAGCGGCAGCAAGATGAACTACTGGAGAGACGCGGAGCATGCGCGCTTGGGGACACAGTTTTCTCGCAACGTGTGATCTATTTATTTCAAACACATGTTGTAGTGAAATGATAATTGCTCGTACCTCTGCCAAACAATGGCCTTTCTGACGGATTTTTGGGCGATATTTTTCATCGCCTTTCACATTTCTGGGTAAGTACAGCTGATATGTCCCCTCTCATTCATGTAAGGCTCAGTGTTTATGTGTGGCAATACCACAAGGTTTTCGTTGTGATTGCTGTGTATTCTTTATTTCAGAGCGTCCAAAACGGGGGAACGGTTCCAAAATGTCACGGATACAATCAAGGGGCTCCTAGAAGGTTATGACGTTCGTCTTCGACCAAGTTTCGGAGGTAAGGTTTTCCCTTCTCTCTCATTTCCTATATTCTAACCATACTAGCTGTATTTCGGCAGCATCGATCGCTAGAGAGACGGTATTAGGCTCACGGACATTTGATAGCGGCAACCTGTCACTACACTGTTGCGTCTGTACGATTGATAAGTCAGAACATGCAATATTGACACTTGTGTCACAACCAGCCTCCTGACAAATCATCTTGTACACAATATCAGCACAGTCAAGCTTCTGTGAACACCGTTCATTTGTATGTATGTTTACCTTAAGCTAAACGACTGTTACTAACTGTTCTGCATACATTGGTATGTCCTATGTACATATGATTCAATATGTCAATATTCTGTAACAGTTTGTTTCCTGACTATAGAAATCATCAATCATCAAGTGTAAATATTTAATATATATGTTCAGTCAGTCAGTTTTGAGGCATACAGAGAGCCGATTAAAAAAAATTCTGATACTAAATCAAATAATTAAGTTCCATGATACAACCATGACAGTGAAAACACATTGTCATGTTCCTGAAAGAATATTTAGAATGATTATTGCTATATATGAACCTTTAGTGTTTATTATTTTCTCCCAAATCACCTGGTTTCATTTATAACGGATAGGAGATAAGGCATGCACGATGTGCATGTGTCGACATTAGTAAATACAAAGTTATCTTTGTAATAATTGACAATAATAATTGTCATTTACCACAGCATGGGAAAACAGGAACGTGCATTTCTAAAACATTGATTAAAGATACCAGATCTGTCCCAGATTACTGTCAAGACAGTGTCAGTATCGAATCAGTGAAATAACATAACATTGTGTTACGTTATCCACGTCTCCTTCATTTAAAATGAGTTCCGCAAGCCGACGACTAAGTGTTCCTTAGTGTAAGTTACATTGGAGAATCATTAGCATTACAAAAAGACATTATCAGACCATGGAGACAAGGCATTGAATGGTATCTCCATATATGCCTCTCATTGCTACGCCATAAAATATGACTTTCAAAAATATTCAAATAAACAAATATTTTCTTTTAAATTTCTCAAATGGGTTGAGGTAGCTCGTTCATTTGCATTCGTAATGGGGTTTGGCTCTGTAGCTAATCTATTCACACGCGACGCTGAAATCAAGAGGAATCCACGTTTATTCAATTACAAGGCTATGCTGTTTGAAGCTGTGTGGTATGTCTTGATGGATGGGTATTTGATGCACGTTGATTACCGCTCATTTGAGCAATGTGTTTATACACACTCACAAATAGAGAACTATTCTATAAAGTGACTGCACTAACAAACGGAAACATAGGCAAGAAATTCTAGTACCGCATCATGTTTCTCAACAGTATTGAACAACGCCATCCGTTTCGCAATAACATCTCATTAGCTATTTTTCTGAAGACTTTTTCTGCTTAAGAAACGTACCAATTCTAAACGAAGATCGTTTCAATCTTGTTTAACTATTTGGATTGACGACGTGGCAATGTGTTTAAATAAATATGCATAAAAGTTCTTCCGTTTTCACGGATATCAAAATTATTTTCAAAATGCACCTTTACAAAAAAAATGGATATAGAAAAAGAAGATAAAGAAATATATCTGAATTCATTTAAGTGGAGATCTGAAAATAGTTTGGCGTAAATAAAGTAATATAACATTTCAATCCTTTTCATATTTTATCTTTTATGGCAACTTATTGGATCTATATTTCTCCACTCAGAATGCCATGCTATTGCTTTCTCCGTCACGCTATTATGATTAGCATATCGTGTCATCTGCGTGACTACCATTCGATTTCCAGCATGTAACCTGACATTAATGTTGCCATCCAGTTCTGCAATGCAGTTAGTCTTCAATAAATCCTATGAGAATGACATCGTCTGACTAGCTCAGCTAGTCTCAGTCAGTAAAGACCGATACCTCAAAAGACCCTGTCAACTCCGTCTATCGACATGACTGATCATTCTCCTGAGCTTCTAATACAAGTAACACCAATTGCTCTGAGCTCATCAAAGATCTTTCTCAGTCGCCGACAACTATCTGTGAAATTGACAACTCCGTGTATTGCCCAATTTCAGGAGTAGCATCAGGAATACCTGATATTTACATCATTTCAAATGATTGGCATTATTTATATTGCTTCATATTCTTTCGTTGATAAATCAAAGATGCTGGATGTCACGATGCCCTGTATCAAACGAACATGGTACCGCAGTTAATTGATATGTTGAGTGCATGATAAAGTAGAACTGAGGATGTATATTGACTCGGAGTAAGACTCTGATAAAGTATTGAACAACTTCAGCTGGAAATCAGTAGAGCCACCATGTTGCATGATGGTCTTCTGAGATTTGATCAATAATGTTGAGATACAAGTGCAATCGTATGTACCATGTACATGCCTACATTTAAAGACACAACGCAAATGAGTGAATCAAGTCTAAAGTTTGTAAGATCTGCAAGTATGCAGTTTTAAGAAAGAAAACAGACAACCAGATGAACACACGGTGCCATTTAGAAAGTGGTGAGATGTAACAAATGTTCTATTTGGGGAACACTTTCTTAGTATAGTACAGATTCTCGTACAACCAGATGTTGTATGTCATTCTGATACTAACCATCGATGAGGGCCACATTTTCAACAAACATGAAAACGTCAAAGACCTGTTAGGGGTCATACTTCAAATGGTTTGTCTGCTTTTACTGAATTGGTGCGGAATGTTTATAAAAACCTAAAAACCTAAAAATAAACTTGAAAATTTAGATGACGCCAGGTCTTTGAGAAAGTAGCTGTGACATGAGAAATAAGACAAACATTGATATAATGTACCGAGTGAGAGAGTGTACATTCAGAAACAACTTTCTTTCACTGAAGTGTTGTAATTATTATAAAACACGTCTACCAGTACCTCACTAAATTCATCATCATCATCACCATCATCATCATCATCATGCATGTGCATATTCACAAATCATTTCCATCACAGTATCAAACTCTATTTCTTGATAACTTCATTTAATCACCTGTGCTCAAACATAAGCACTTCAAATATTTACATAAAAGTTTCCCCGCTATGTATTCCATGACACAAGAGACATATCAGAGCGAAATATATTTCTAACAAAGTAACAAACGTGTGCGAGGTTTTCCTGGCCCAACACTGAAATCAAATTGGTTTCTATTTTTGCTTCCACGGCCCTATACTACAATGTGAATTCCCTGCAAATTATATTATTGATTTTTACAACAGCGAAAATTTCATTAGAACATCGGAGAAATTAGAAACTGGTATTTTTTTCACACTTCTCTGTATTTAAGGAGGAAGTGGTCTCTGCTCTTGACCTTTCGCACCAAAGACGGGGATATCGCCTCAGTGTGACGCATAAACCATTAATTCGTGATTTACTGCTTCGCTACATGACAGCATGGCTTACAGCAAACAGTTTATCTGTTGATAGCAAGACATGTTTTTAAGAGACGTTACCAGACACGTTTTCTGTTGGTTGTGTTACCAAGTAGTAGGATTCAATACGAAATATGTTCCTTAAACAATGGCATTCAGGATACACGCCGTCGAATCATGGGACAGGGTGACTCGCAGTCTGCCATGGCCTGACACTGCCCTGTTAATAAATAAGCTTGTGTCGTGTGCCTTTATGTTTCATGAATTCCCTTCTGAAACCATAGGATATACATTCTCCTCCCACTGACAAGGATAATATCCGACAAGGACATGCATGTGTTTCTTTTTGACAATGACATGGTCGACCAGAATACACATTTCCTGCATACTGATGTGAACAGGATTGAAAAGATCACACATTTCCTTCATACTGACTTTGATGTGGTTGTGAAACAACACACATTTCCAGCATTTTGACGTGGATAGGGTTGACAAGAACACACATTTCCTGAATACTGACGTAGACAGGATAGACAAGAACACACATTTGCTGAATACTGGCTTGGATGTGGTTGACAAGAACACACATTTCTTGAATACTGACATGGACATGGTTTACAAGTACACACAATTCCTGCATTTTGATGTGGACAGGGTTGACAGGAACACACATTTCCTGAATACTGACGTGGACAGGGTTGACAAGAACACACAATTCCTTCATACTGACGTGGATAGAATTGACAAGAACACTCATTTCCTAAATACTGACGTGGATGTGGTTCACAGGAACACATATTTCCTTCATACTGACGTGGACAGGGTTGACAAGAACACACAATTCCTGCATTTTGACGTGGACAGGGTTGACAAGAACACACATTTCCTGAATACTGACTTGGATAGGGTTGACAAGAACACAAAGTTCCTAAATACTGACATAGACAGGGTTGACAGGAACACACATTTCCTTCATACTGACGTGGACAGGGTTCACAGGAACACACATTTCCTTCATACTGACGTGGACAGGGTTGACAAGACCACAAATTTCCTGAATGTTGACATGGGCAGGGTTGACAAGAACACACAATTCCTTCATACTGACGTGGACAGAATTGACAAGAACACTCATTTCCTAAATACTGACGTGGATGTGGTTCACAGGAACACATATTTCCTTCATACTGACGTGGACAGGGTTGACAAGAACACACAATTCCTGCATTTTGACGTGGACAGGGTTGACAAGAACACACATTTCCTGAATACTGACTTGGATAGGGTTGACAAGAACACAAAGTTCCTAAATACTGACATAGACAGGGTTGACAGGAACACACATTTCCTTCATACTGACGTGGACAGGGTTGACAGGAACACACATTTCCTTCATTCCTTCATACTGACTTGGATGTGGTTGACAAGAACACTCATTTCATGAATACTGACTTGGATAGGGTTGACAAGAACACAAAGTTCCTAAATACTGACATAGACAGGGTTGACAGGAACACACATTTCCTTCATACTGACGTTGACAGGGTTCACAGGAACACACATTTCCTTCATACTGACATAGACAGGGTTGA